ACATGTCACACATAGGGTGGGGGAGGGGGTCGCAGGGCTCCTCAAGGGACCAGCAATGACGGGAAGCACTGAACTGAGCAGTTGACCTCTGGGAAGGCCCCAGTGCTGCAAGCGCTACGTTGGGCTTAGCACTTTCCTGGGCTGCACCAGCTGCCAGCTTGGCTGAGGGCTGGTGTCCTGCGCAGGGTGAGGTTGTGTCCACCAGACATGTTTAACGAACCAGGCAGAGTGATGAACTATGTTTGTGTTAATACCTTTGATTCTACCCAACACCAGAATGTTGGTATTTTAAGAATCCTTTTGATGTACTACAAGTCCCTACTAAGAACCATCAAATAAACACAAAGGGTTTAAGGCCGAAATGCTGACCCAAGTCCCAGGACTTGGATCCCCTCTTGCTCAGCAGGCTGCACGCTAGGCAGGGCTCACATGCAACAGGATGGAAAGGTAAGACAGGCTGGCCTTAATGGGATTCAGCCATGTTCTGGCTCCAGCTAATGCTTAGGGCTCAGCTCAGGAATTTCCCAGAACATTTAGGTTTCCTGAGAGTGACACAGGCCACACTTATGGACAGGGTCACACAGATAGCTTGCGGGAGAGTGCCTCTAGACTCCCACACTGTCTCCCCTGCCTCCCTGGATCTATCAAGTCCGCAGGCACCAGGGCTGAACCTGCCATGGGACTGTCAGGGGTGGCAGGAGGCAGCCTTGCCTGCTGTGGAAAGACAAAAGGAAGCCATGGGCCCCTCTGCTGCCCCATGTGTGGCCAGGCTTTGCAAGCCAGCCTGGCCAGCTGCCAGCCTGGGGAGGGATCTGTGACGGACAGGCTGGTAACTGGAAAGCTCCCATCATTAGCCCAGGAACTTTGTTTGGTTACCATGGTGACCTTTGCTACAAGCAGGCTGACTAAGGCACAAGGAATCTGTTACCTAAAACCAGCACCCTGTGGATCCCAGGGCTTTGGGAGGGACGCTGATCAGTGGGCCCATGGCCCAGGCTCCATGACCCCTATTCCTGCCCCTCCCTGGTTGGATCTACCAGCTGCCTCCCACATTCAAAATGAAAGAAAGGACTAGAAAGTCACCTCCACTTGCTTGAGACCTCTCACATTCCTGACAAGGAGGCTGCTGTCCCCAAGCCCTGCTGCAGGCCTGGCCCTCAAGCAGGCTGGCCAGGGACAGCCCAGCAGGCACACGCGTCCAGGGCTTAGTTAGAAGCCTCTTGGGGTGTCTGGTTCCCATCGTGCTAGTTCACGCTGTCCCTTCAGAGCCATCAGGATCACTTCATCACATCTCTGCCTTTTTAAACCTGAGCTCCATTAATAAAAGGTCATCCCACAGCATGGAAATCGAGATCGTTGCTTTGCTTTCCAACCCTGAATTCAGAAGCACGTGCAAGGGTTTGACCCTCCAAGCAAGCTGGTATGGGAATGGTGATTCTGAGGTTGGCTGAGGATTTAAAATCCCTTGTCCCCAAGACCACACCACTCCTCTGTTCAGGGACCCATGGGAGCACCTCTCGTTTCCACCTCCTGGACCAGCCTACACATAGTCTCCCATGGGCTCCCAGTTTCCAGCCAGTGCTAGCTGTGGCCCTGCACACTGTCACCTTGGGCGTGGCTGACAACTGGCTGTGTGCCCTTCTCTTGTCTGGGTCTCCTAACTGACCTGGGAGGCAGAGGGAAGCAAGGTCAAAGCAAAAGAACACACAGAGTAAGGAGAGGAGGTACACTGCAGGTGGCACATGTGACAGGTGCAACACGGGGCTAAGACCTCACTGTGTCTCTCACACAAGACAAGCGCTTGTACACAGGGGTCCATCCACCTAACAGCTTTCTTCTCTATACCAGCTCAGGATCACATGGCAACACTGGCCTGCCAGCTTCTTTCATTGAGGCAGGCTCTGAGATTCAAATCCCTGAGGACCTCTGCAGGTGGAAGAAGGTTCTGAAAGGCAGTGGCCACCAAGGCAGCATCTGCAAGTTGCTCAATGGGAGAGAGCTTGGGTTGATGACGATGCGGTTGGGGTAAAGAGGGTCTGTTTTGTGTTGTTTTGCTGCTGCACCAAGACTTACTGCAGCAACTGTTTTACTTCCTTGGCAACAGCTGGAGCAGCCGCGGTGCCAATCCAAGAGCAATGATATTTTCTGCCATCTCTGACCTATAATGGACTCAGTGACATTTCTGATTAATCCATGGGTTTCTGCACTTCAGGGCTTCATTGGTGTGGGGTACCATGCAGGCCTATTTGCAAAGAGTTAAGGTCATCCCCTAGCGTCATGCAACAGAGCCAGATGGGCTTTGCCTCCCCCACCTCAGCCCCTAGCCCAACCACAAAAGTGTTTAAAGTGTTCAGGGAAAACGTATATTACAAAAGCTAACATAACTTTCAAAATTTCTTTTGCACTAAAATGAACTTTCCTTTCAATTCAATTTCCCACTCACTTTTTGAAATAGTCTTGTAGATTTGTTTTTTCTGTTTGGCTTAGAACAACAGCAATGGATTCTCTGACGCAGACTAGCCACTCCTGAGAATCTCCCAGTTGGGGATCTCCCAGTTGGGTGGCCAGCACAGCACACTGCTTTCTGGAGCTGGAGACAGGACCCAAGGTGAAGAGCCCACTTCCCGCTCATTCTCTGCCCTCACTGTCCCTAGGCAAGTGGACGAGGAAAAGCGAGGCATTACCGGGCATGGGACACATTGGTCCCCAAGCCTGTGGCAGCATACCACTCTGGTGACAAGAACAGAACAGGTTGGGGGCTGCAGCAGATAGGACTCGAAGGCCTATCTGTCTGATTTCAGAGCTTCCCCTCTCCCTGCTCACAGCTCCTGCAGCCCCTGTGGGAGGTCAGCCCTGGTGAACTGTTCCCACGGCAGAGGCAGCCCTTTAGGATTCTGCCTGCAGAAGCAGGGACACTGCCTTCCAGGCTGCTCCCTGCAGGGGCCCAGCTGGGCTGCACAAGGACAAATGGCATGACCTACACCGTGCTCCTTCTCTCTGCTGGGGCAAGCCTTCCTCTGAAGATCCACAGAAAGCTGTCTTCCTGGATGTGTGCACAGAATGTTCTAGTTCATGTCCATCCATGGGCCTCCCAAGGCTGTTGTCAACCTCAAGGCCTAGGAAGACTTTCAGTAGAGCATTTCCTGTGGCAGGGGTGCAGGGGAGGGTAGCAGCTGAGGACACACATACAGCTCAAGAGGGACAGATGATGGCTGTCCAGTCAAAGCCTGGGAAGGTAGAGGAAGCAAGGAGATGGATTAGCCAGTTGTAAAAAGCAGAGTTAGCCATGCTGCCCAAGCCAGGAGAGGCACCTCTGTGTTGGCAGAGAGCACACAGCTCAGCGTTAGGAAGTGAGTGGCAAGATGTTGGCCTCAGCAAGGGAAGGGTGTCGAGCTGGAATGGATCTAGGAAGAAGGGCCAAATGCTGGGGGGTCTGGGGGAAGAGGGCTTTGCTTTCAGCACAGCAGCCCTGCTCCCTCCCCAATGGCCATGTGAGATTTTGCGCAAAGAAAACACCAGCCTTGTGTTGCTTCTGCCCTACACACTCAGAACTTGAAGGCAGGACCCTTGCCCTCTCCCCACCCAACCTGTCTAAGCTTTTCTTTTCAATGGTTCTGTCCCCGCTGAAGTCTAACAAAGGAAAGCCAACACACACACATTCATGACACAGAAATGAGTCACATTTTGCCAGACAAGCATGTCGATGGAGTCTAGACAAAAAAGCAAGGCACTGGCCCTGAGAGCCAAAAGCCTTCGTCTTCTATGCACTTTCATTCAAAAATTAAAAACAAAATGTAGCACCCAATCTTGTTGCATTGAACTTGGGATTTTGAGACAGGTAACTGATATCTATTCATACTCACTTCCATCTGTCTAAAGCTACATCACATGCCTTTTAAAGTGAATCTTAATGGTTACTCCCAGGCTGAACCTGAACCTGGGGAGGCTTCATCCAGTTGGCTTCACACACTGGTTATGCCCGGCTATGAGCAGCTGGGATCTGCCCGAGTGAGGATAGGGTAACATGGAGTCAGGGGTCAACACACTGCAGTTGGAGGGTCAGGGTGCTGGGGCTGCACAGCAGGCTGATCAGTACCATGATACTCACCCTAGGCAACATTCACCAGAGTTCCCACCTTTAGCAAAACTCAATGAGTGCAAAGCATCCTTCTGGAGCATGTGGGGCTCAGCCATCCTCAGTACCCCAAGAAAGCCACAATGCAGAACTGCCTGCAGTGTCCTCTGAGGGCTCAAGGCCACGGGCCCTGTGAGAGTCATCAGGGTCAGGTTTCCTCCTGTCCCTTGCAGTGGACAGCCACAGACAGGGTCTGCCTGACCTTCCTGTATACCCCACGGTGGGACAGGTGGGAGTCAGCAGCCCTTCCTTCTGGAATCTCATAATTCAAACAAAGCCTGTCAACTGTTGACCCAGAGTCAACTGCTCCTGAGGGGAGGAGGGTGGGGACCAAAAGATGTCCTTCCATTGATCCCCTCCACGGAGTGACCGTGCCCTGCCTCCATAGGCCCACATGGCTCATCCGCCCTAGGGGCCAGGTTGGGTGGCAGCAGGTCTTCTGTGCATAGATGGAGGTGGGAGAGCCCAGTCCTGCCTCATCCACTGCTGCCTGAGCCAAGTGTACCTGAATCCCGTCAAGAAGCAGGGCATTTAGCTGATGGGGTAACAAGGGGCTGTGGAGGAGCAGGGCCACCCTGGGGGCAACAATGCCCTCTCCAACTGCCCCAAAGAGGAGGTGGCAGCCTGCATGGAAGCAAGGGGTTGGCTCCCTTGGTGTCTGTCAGGCCAGCCAGAGTTGGAATCCCCTTCTTGGAATTAAAATATGTAAGTTGGGGGTTCCCACGGGGCTCATGCAGAGCCCAGGGCAGGGCATTACAGCCAGTAACCTCCCTACAGGTTGTTCCCTTTTCATCTCACCATGAGCCTCAGTCACCAGCCAGCCCCCAGCCAGCTCCCAGCCCGGCAGTGTCCCTGGGGAACTCACTTGAAATTCTCGGGGTGCTCGGTGATGGCCATGTTGATGACATCCAGGGCATGCTGGTGGTGCTTCTGGGCAGAGAAGAGCAGGGCCAGCAGGTGGAGGGCATTGGCGTTGTCCCTGCACACCGTCAGGGCCTCCTGCAGCTGCTCCATGGCCTTGGAGATCTGCCGAGGCAACCAGCCAGCTCAGGGGCCATTCCCTGAACTCCAGTGCCAGCTGCCTCATGATGAGGTCATCCCAGGCAAGCCACAGTTGGGTACTGGGGACAGGGAAGGTGCTGCGAGAAAACACCCCTTGCCACTCCCCCACCTTTGGCGAGACAGCTCTGCTGCCCCACATGGACCTCCTGCCCCTCTGGATGGGGACCCTAACCTCAGCCTGCACCTGGCTGCAGAGGGCGTCTGTGATGTGTAACTGTGGCCGTGGCCCTGTTGACCAGTGGGAACAGGTTCAAGAGGTCCACAAACCCCCCTCCCCCAGCACATCCCATGGCGGGGGGGGGGGGGGCGCAATCCTGTAGCCAAGATATATAGCTGCCCCCTGCTGCCTGCCATGGTGGTCTGTGCAGATCCCTGCTCCGAGTTGGACCCAGTTGGGGATGTAAATGATCCATGATACTCAGCTTTCCTGAAGAGGCCATCTTAGCACCCCCACAGGGGTCCCCAGACTTTCTGCTTGTCTCTCTCCCCTACCCAGCTACTGCTTAGCCAGGTAGTGGTGGTGTGGGAGGGTGATAAGTGCAAAAATAGCTCCCAGATCAGCTTGGTTTCCTCAACTACAAGGAGCAAGGAGCAGGGCTGGTGCCACAGTGCAGCTGATAAAACTGCCACTTACAGTGCAGGCATCTCATACAGGGGCCGGTCCCAGTTCCAGTTGCACCACTTCCCATCCAGCTCCCTGTTACTATGCTTGGCAAAGCAGCAGAAGATGACTCAGTGCTTGGGCTCTTACATCCATATGGGAGACCTGGAAGAAGCTCCTGGCTCCTGGTTTTGGACCATTCCAGCTTTGGTCACTGTAGTCATTTTGGGAGTGAACCAGGTGGAAGGTCTCTCTAACTCTGCTTTTCAAATAAATAAATAAATTTTAAGAGAGAGGAGAGAGAGAGAGAGAGAGAGAGAGAGAGAGAGAGAAGCCTTTTGGCAGGCGGCAATGGAAACTCATTCGCGAGTTCCCAGCTGGCTGCTCGGGCCCCAGGAGTGGTGGCTCGGGCCCCAGGAGTGGTGGCTTGTGCAGTGCTGGCTGTGAGGCAGCCTCAGCCTCCACAGCCTGGCTCAGAGTGCTCCTGCCTAGCAGAGGCTCCTTGCCAACTGAAAGATGGGTCTTGCTTGCACTGGAGAACGACAGGGGGCTCCTGCAGAAACACTGCTGTGTTTGTTCCAGAGGTGGCTCTGCCGTCCACTGGCCTCTGTCCCTGCAATTCCTGCTGCTTTGAATTCCATCTTCTTGCAAACTTGGCACGCCAGCCGCCAGAGGGTTAAAGCCAACCTTGGGACCACCATGCTTATGGATCATCTCCCCTGTACTGAGGGAGCCCGGGGCTAGTGCACAATGGGCTGAGGCCTCCTGAGAAGTCCTGCTTGGGAGATGCCTTTGTGCCCAGAGCAGCAGTCATGTGACAAGAAGGCCACTCAACAGCACCTGGGTTTGGGAAGAGCCTGGACAAGCTGGTGACAGCTCAACAGTTAGGAACAGTGACAACCTACCTGGCGGACAAGGGCCAGCTGCAGGGAGACATACAGGATGACCTGGGGATCGTCAGGTGCCAGCTGCTGGGCTCTGCATGGGAACAGGGAGCAACAGGGTCACTAAGCATTGAACCACCAGTATGTGACTTGACATCATGGACCACATCTGGGGGCAGAGGAGGCAGCGGATTCTGCCAGGCTCTGGCTTGCAGGAAGGGTCAATGGGCAAATGATAGCTCATGCAGAAGGCCACACACAGCCCTGGGCAGGGGACAGTGTTTCAGAGAGGGACAGCTTAGTGAAGGTAGGCAGGGATTATCTGGGACAGCACCCCAGAGGTCACAGATCCGGAAGGAGGTGCATTAGGGGGTGCAGAATGACAGTATGTACTCCCACAGGGCCAGCCCCTGCTCAGAGCACCTGCCAGCCTGGCTATGGGCTCGACACTGTAGACAGAAGTGCATATCCCATCCCTGAATCGTGAAGGCCCTGAAGTGGTCTATAGGTGAGAAGCCTTGGAAATGAAGAACCAGGGGCAGGGAATGTGCCCATTCCCTGCAGCTCAGAGAGGTCAGCTGGGACTGCATCTCTGGCCACTGTCTCCTTAATTTTGAACATCACAGGGTCCCATGAAGCTGGCAAAAAGGGCCCAGGCCAGGCCCTATCCACAACAGTACTACTTCAACAGGGAGCAAGACACCTACAGGGGCACAGTGGGGAAAGGATGGAGCAGGACAGAGGAAGAAGAGGGTACAGAAGTGGCTGGGCACAGATGGGCTTGGGGAGGGCAGCCCAAGTGCTTCTGGATCCTTCCCTGACTCTGGCCTGGCTGCCAGGCTGGCAGTGGAGTAGCTAGGAGGATAAAACCATGTCAGAACCCCTGCTACATGTGGGATATCCTGCAAGGTGCTGTTCCTACTTCATCTACTGTGATGATCACAGCAGCAATGGCTTGGGGCCTCACATTGAAACCCTGATAGCCCTCAAGGCTGGGGGCTAATCCTGGTGTCTGCTGCTGGCTCACAGTGGAGGTGGCTGTCGATCTCCCAGGCCAGAGGTCCAGGGTCAAGGGTGGGGCTCAACTGCCTGCCAGAGCCCAAAGGGCTGTCCCTGCTAGCTGGGCATAACCTTACACAATGTCAGCTGCTCTGTATCAGGGGCCCATGCCACCCGTGGGCACCAAAAGCCACAAACGGAATGTCCTCACCTCTCCAGTGTCTGCAGCGCCTTCCGGTGTAATTCATCTTGCTTGGCCTTCAGGGTGGCTGCAAGAGACAGAATGGAGGCCGAGATATCAGAGGGGCTGAAGAGAAGCTGCCTAGCCCTGATCCCATCCCCAGGGCGAGCTCTGCCAGCAGAGGCCTCTCCAGAGCCCTGTCTGGAAACTTTCAAGTGCAGCAGCCCTGACTAATGCAGTCTGTGGCCCTGGCCACCCAGCACAGCTCTTGCCATGCCAGCTCCTTCTATTCCAAGGCCTTCTCCATCAGCTGGCCAACCTGACCCTCCCAAAGGCACAAGCCCGGAGGGAGTTCATGACCTATGTGTCCCACCCAGGACATAAGCTTCATGAAAAAGGCTGCCAATTCTGCCAGGCCACATGCCTTCCTGGACTTAACTTTCCCTGGAGACCTAGCTTCATCACACGCCAGGTACCTTCTGAGAAAATTGTATTAGATCTAAAATACAGCAGAGCAGGTGTTCTCAGCTTGGTTGCATGCTGAGAGGCCTGGGAAACATTGACATGTCTGTGTCAGGCACCACTGCAGACCAGGTCAGATGTCCACTGGTGAGAAGCAGGCACAGAGCATCGTCAGAGCAGCCCTGTATGGAAAGTTGTCTAGACCAAAGTTGTCTCGCTGACTTGACCACTGGGGTCCAAGCCTCCCTGAAGACACCGTGATCAAAAGTGTTAAAGAACAGGGCGTTGACACCGAGCCAGGCTCTCTCATATGGTTTCTCACTCATTTGGACAAGACAATGCCAGTGTTCAGGTACCTGGTGGGGAAGGGTCCATTCCTGGTCCAGGTCTGGAACAACCTCAAGGCTGCAAGGGGCAGCTGATGGATGGGGGAGACACAGGGCAGAGCTGGCAGGCTTGGCAGGAGGATATGGAAGTCATCAGTGCGAGCATTTACTGAGCACCTGCTGTGTGCCCCCAGCACCAAGCCACATGTGCAGTAGAATGCAAAAAGATCCAGCAGGTTAAGCCACTGTCTGTGATGCCAGCATCCCATGAGTGCTGGTTAGAATCCTGGTTGCTCTGCTTCTCATCCAGCTCCCTGTTAATATGATCAGGAAGGTAGCAGAAGACAGCCCAAGTACCTGGGTCCCTACCACCCATGTGGTAGGCACCTGACTGCAGGCTCTGGGCTTCAGCCTGGCTCCGGCCCTGGCCCTGGCCATTGTAACCACATGGAGAATGAACTATTAGATGGAAGATCTTGCTATCTATTTCTGTCACTCTGCCTTCAAATGAATCTCAAACAAACAAACAAACAAACAAAACAAAACCAGCAAGTCACAGTGGTGCAAAGGGTAAATGCAGGCCCATGAGAACCAGAGTGAAGAAACCCACATGAGACAGTACCCAGTGCCTTGCAGGAGACCCGAGTGGGCATGGCTGGCCCTTGCAGCATGCGAACTGGGCCCATGAAGAGGAGAGAGAGGAAGGCATGTCGGTGAGTGGGGACAGGCTGAGCCCAACAGCGGAATGGGACCAAGAGGCACAGGTGTATGTCTGCATGCAAGTGTACTCCATCCCTGAGCGTGGACAGTGTGGAAAGCGGCAGACGGCACTTCTGCTGGACAAGATGTCTTAAGGAATGTCAGGAAGACATGGTCCTCCATGGGCCGAGGCCTCTGGGGCCCAGTACTTACCATCACTGGCCTGCAGGCTATAGGTGAGCCCCAGTGCCAAGTAGCCCTTGGGGAGGAACTCGCCAGCTTCCTCCCCACGGTCAGTCACCATCAGGGCAAAGCGTTCCGCCTCCTCCAGCTGCAAAGACGAGATGGAGAGAGAGAGAGAGAGGTCACTATGTATGGCAGGTGACACTGATCCACCAGCCTGGGACAGACCAAGAGATTCCTTGTAGGTGGGCAGCATGACTATAGAGCTCAAGTGACTTGTCACAGCCAAACAACTTGCCAGCTACTCTCTGGGCCTGCTCCCCTCAGAGAGGCCTGATGCCAAGGTCATAGGGACCAGCTTCCTGTGCTCCAGTGTCCTAGTGCCCACTTTCTCCCCCATGTGGCCCCTGCAGGAGCCTGGGCCTATACCCACCCTATTCAGCAGAGGGTGGGCGGTGGGTGAGTCAGGGCTGGGGGCTGGGCCTTGGGAACACGTGCCAGCTCTGTGCAGCAGGCAGGTTGCCACCCTGGCTTCTGTCCAAGTGCTCCCTCCTGCTTGTCTGACAACTTTCAGGGGAAAAAGGCCTGGGGCTGTTTCTGTCCTGGGAACACGAAGCTCGTTCCAGTTGGAAACAGAGCAACAAGCATAAGTCACGCGGCATGCAACATCCCATGTCACATGGACAGGCAGAGGGGCAGACTGGGGAGCTGGAGGACAGCCAGGGTTGGTGGGGGTGACCTCAGTCATGCCTTACTTCCTCTCAACCAATCAGAAAGCCATCACATGGTGTCTTCTTCAAGCACAGGCTCCCAGTGTCAGTCACCTGGGGATCCCGGTCCAACCCCACACTGCTGTTCTGGCACCAAGCCTGGGCGTGTCGCATTCTCCATGCTATCCCTGACAGAAGAGGGGTGACTCTGTGCACCTCTACATCCTGTGCCCACAGCTGGGGATGTGTGGGGCCAGTGGAATTATTCTCTCTGGAGTCTGGAACTGAGACCCTGGGATGGGGTGGGGTGCTGGGCTGTGGTGCAGCTGCGGTGAGCACTTTGACTGAAGAGGCAGAGGACTTTGTACAAAGGGGCACATGTGGCTCTGGAGACTTCAACACACCATTTCCCCTGCATGGCCAATGCCATTTGGGTTTCTCTTACTGCACTACAAAGCCAGCCTTCTTCAGGTGTAGCTACTGCAGAGACCAAGAACAGGACATGTCACTCATTCTAGTGGGCGTGACAACACACAACACAATGGTACACAGCCTTCAAACACACAACTGCTCTGACCCACCAGCCAAGGAGAGGGATGCTAAAACAGCAAATGATAATAATAGAACTGAAAAACTTCAGAGCGCACTACTTTCCTTCATCTAAGACCAGAGCAGGGACCCCAAGGTCCCTGGGAGTTTGACTTTGCCCCTTTGCTAGAGGACTGAAGTCCCACCCCACTCCAGACTCAGTTGTGGCCCAAGGACTCACAGCCTGGCATTCAGAGGCAAGGAAAAGTCCAGCGACTGTGACCACAGGGCCAGAGCCATGCTGTGCTCTCAGATCCTCGACTGGCCCTTAAGGACCTTGTGACCTCAGGGGCTGCTTTGTGCCACTGTGCCTGTTCCCTCTTCTACAATATGGGGGTCAAAACAGTGAGTCCTGAGCCCAGTGTGGTAGTCTAGTGGCTAAAGTCGTTGCCTTGCACGCACTGGGATCCCATATGGGTGCCAGTTCTAATCCCGGCTGTTTCACTTCCCGTCCAGCTCCCTGCTTGTGGCCTGAAAAGCCGTCGAGAATGGCCCAAAACCTTGGGAACCTGCACCTACGTGGGAGACCCGGAGGAGGTTCTTGGCTTCTGATCAGCTCAGCTCCAGCTGTTGCAGCCACTTGGGGAGTGAACCAGCAGACAGAAGATCTTTTTCTCTGTCTCTCCTCCTTTCTGTATATCTATCTTTCCAATAAAAATAAAATAAATCCTTAAAAAAATTTAAAAAACAGTGAGTCCCCCATAGGACTGCTGGGATAGCTCACAATAAGACAAGGCAAACGCTCAAGCAGCACTTGAATAGATGTTGAGGAGTAGCAATGGCTGCACATACACACAGACACCCAAATAGACATCAATGCACACACATATACATATACAACATGCATACACGCACATTTACAGATACCAGAGATACACTGTTAAATACACATATATGCATATACACAGGGACACGAATACAGACATACATATCCACATACACAGATACCGGATACATACAAATACAAGTGAAAGCATACATACACACATACATATACACATGCATAAACTTCAGAAAGTTTGTGGAAAACGAAACTTTTTTGGAAACCTATGTATACTCATATACCATTAGTTTAATTTTCTAGAGTCTTTTTTTTAAAGCCCCATCCAAATGTGACTAACATCAGCAGATGAAGTCCCTGACCCCTGTGGCTACACAGTGCTGAGAAACGTGGCTGTGGCACCAAAGCCCCTCTGGAATCCAGTTATGGAAGGGTGACTACTACCCAGGACAAGCTGGTGTATCCACAGCCTGCCATGCTGGGTTGTTTAGGTTCTCTGACCTAGTCCACAGTCCAAAACACACACCTGTCAGGGCCAGACCTGCCCTACCACAGGCAGTACACTAGGATACCCAATTCTTTAAGAATCTATCCCAGAAAGAGTTGTTTTCCAACCTACTAATGGCGCTCCACCATGGAAATCTCAAACTATGGATTTCATCCGAAAGCTGCTGACTGCTCAGTCCCTGCCCCTGGCATCTTCCTCCCTCCTGAGCACCTCCTGGGCCCTTTCTGGGCTCTGCACACCTCCTCCTCCTGGCTTCAAAAGTTCCTTGCTGTTCCTGGTTCCTGTGGTTCCTGTGGTGGTTGCTGTGGTGTTGTGGTTCCTGGTAACTGTATGCAGTGCTAAGCTCTCTCCACTCATCAAAATACCTCCAGGGGAGGTGTCCAAAACCCAGCCTCTCTCCTTCTCACGTCACTCCGAGACCTCCCCTGCTGAGGCTGAAGCACGCAGCTGGAGATGCTCTCTGCTCCTTCCTCCCCCTGCAGTTCTGGAGTGACCAAGGGCCAGCTTGAATGCATAGCACCACAACCCACTGTCTCAGGGCCGAAGCTCCTGGGCTACCAGGAGCTAAGGGGACCCAGTCAGCAAGCATAGAGACACCTGTCCTTCCCAGCCTCACAAAGCCTCACAGCTGCCCGTGGCAATTTCTGTTTTCTCCCCCGACCCTGGGGCACAGGATTTTGGCCTCCTTAGTAAGGGGCATCTCCCTATGACTTCCCAAGTTCCTCCTTGTGTCCTCTTTTCCTGATGTGGTCCCCACATAGGTTGGCTCCCAGCTTGCCTGTGCCATGCTCAGGGCTGCCTCCTTGGCTTGGGGCTGTCGCCTAGGATCACCTTGTCATGGGCCCAAGTGCTGCCCTTGGAGTCATTGCCCTTTTTCTCTCTGGCCACGGGAGTACAGAGTTCTGAATGAGCAGAGCTGAGTCTGAAGAGCACTCCAGCTTCTCCCTGTAGGCCCACAGCATCCTGTGAGCTGCTCTACTGAAACACCCAGCTGTCTCCCCAGGAGAAGCAGTAGGCGCCTTTCCCAATGCCTGTAGGGGGGCGGCAGGAGAGCTGGCACTCCCTCTTCCCCTCCTCCACCTCCCCCAGTTTTGTCCGCCTTGCATGTGATGTAGGAAGACTGGCATAGGCAATCTTGGCTGAGGGGCTGCTGTCCCCAGGCACGTGCAATGTGTGAGTGCAGGATGACATGTCTCATCCTATCTGGGACCATCACGGCCACCCACAGTAGTGGGTGCAGGGGCTTGCAGATTACAAATGTGAAAACAGAGAAGGCACAGAGGGCCAGCAACTCATCCCACAGCCACACAGCTCCGGAGTGGGCAGGCAGAGACTAGAAACCCAGCCTCTCTGCCTCCATTGGTACTCTTCGTACTTACTCCCACTCAGCGGAAGAAGGTGAAAGATGGTGTCATGCAGAGGCCTCTGCCTTTTAATTCAAGAGAACATTGAGCCGCTGTGTTGGAGAGATGCTAACAAGTATTCACATCTCCCTTTCCTCCTGTTCCAAAAATGGGCACCCCGGCAAGATGCTGGTCATGCCCACGCAGGACATCGCCATGCAGGGCTCTCTGGTTCTTTACTGTCAACCTGTCACCAATTCAGAGCCTGACAAGGCCTCCCCTACCCATGGGAGTGTTGGGCTTAGCTCAGGGCCATGGTTCTCCCGCTGTAGCCCTGGCCCTTCCCCACCCAGCCAACCAGCTCTGCCCAGCCTCCTGCCAGGGGCCAATGTTGCTCAGGCCTAGGCCCAGGTCAGGGGCTTCCCACACATTCTCTGGGCACAGGGATGACTTGAGAGGACAGCAAGTGCTACCCCTGGGCATGCGGCCACCCACCACAGCTGCAACCAGCACAACTTGTTTTTCCAATGCCCCAGTGTCAGTCTTCCCTCTTACAACCCTGGCCAAACTGCTTGCCCCCAGATCTCTGTCCCCAGCTCATGGGACTTGGCTGAGTAACAGCTGGGCCTGCTGGGCCTGATGTGAGTCAGGAGAGCTGCAGAGGGTAGAGTCGGAGAGGGCATTTAAGGCATCCCAGGACCTGTACCCTGTCTCATGCACAAACAGCACCCACCCCATTTCTGCCACCAGTATACCTTGGGAACAGAGCTGGCCAGGGGAACAGGATGCTCTTGGCTACCCCGCAGCCTGCACTCTGCCCACACCAACACAGGGAGCAAGGGTTACCTGCAGAGCACATGGAAACCTCAGGTCTCAGCCCGTCCCTCCCTGGCCAGCTGGGGTGTGTGTTGGTTGATGTGCTGAAAAACAACTGCCCTATGCAGGCTTCTAGGCTGGGGAGAAAGAAGCAGAGTGCAAGATGCCACATGGGCAGAAGACCACAGAGAAGACCTTAGTAGGACTACCTAGTGAGGGTCCAGCCAGCAGGCTGCAGGCGCCGAACTGTGTGGGTTGAGACTTCAAAGAGAGTCCCTGCCCTGCACGAACACGGACAATCACAGTACAGGGGTTCTGTGTCGGGAATATACACAGGGCTGTGGCCACAGAGCAGCTGGGGCCTCCAAGCCAGCACAGGCTGCTGGGCGCCAGCCTCCCACCCACTGGTGGGGCCGCCACCCCACCACACAGCTCCCAGATCTTGCTGGCCAGCCTACCCGCTGAAGCCTCCTTCTGGGCTCTTCTATTTATGTTGTCATTGATGACTTTGCTCCTAACTCATCTGATTTCAATTTGAACTGATTTGGTCCTAATTTTATTACCATGTAATCTGCACGCACATGATTACTGTAATTATGCTGCCGAGGAAGCAGCTCTTCCAGGGTGGGAAGACCTAAATTTAGGGCTTCCTGGCAAGGGTGGCCGGTAGCTGGGTGGCCCTCAGTGCCTCTGAGCTGGCAGCCTTACAGAGCACAGATGCCCGCCTCCAGATAAGATGGGAATTGGGGGATTTAGCTCAGTGACGAGCTGCAGGCCCCTCTCAGGAGCCCCAGGAAGAAGCAGGGGCTGAGCTGGCAGACCAGGAGCCCACCTTCCTGCCTCTGCTGCAGGTGCCCAATGCCCCTCACACCTGTGTGCTTGCTTATGAGGGGCCCCCTAGATACAGAAAAAAAGATGTAGCAGCCTTCTCACAAGAGTGGAGGAGCAAGAGGGTCCCCCATACTCATGGAGCTGAGGAAGGCAAGCTGTGATGTATGCACTTGCCACAGGTCCTTTCCCACCCTCTGACCCTATGCCAAGGCCACTTCCTCCAGGAAGTCTTCCTGACCCACCCAGCCAGCCCCCTCCAGACTTGGCGTTCTTCATGACACACCTGAGCGAAACAGGCTGTTATGATTCCATTTCACAGAGGAGAAAACGGAGGCACAGTGAAGACCTGGGCTCTACTCCAGAGCAAACAGGGAGAAACTAGGAAGCTTGTCACTGCCTGGCCACACTGCCCCCAAGGCCGGGCTGGCCTCTCTACTGCCTCACCCAGCATCTGCCATGTGGGAATGGGGTGCAGGGAGATGTGGCTTTCCCCACCCAGCCTTCTGTAGTGGAGGGAAGGCGAGGTGTTCAGGATGCATGGAGGCAGTGCCCAGGGCAGGGAACGACACAAAAGTGGCTATCCCATCCCCAGGGCTTCCTAGGGCTGGTATCCATCCGTAGGACACCCAAGTCGCGAACAGTGGTAGGAGGAGCTGCAGAAGCTGTACCTGCTGCATGCATTTTCTGGGTGCATCCCGGGGCCCAGTCCCTGTCACCGTGTGAGCTGGGAGTTTCAGGGCAATGGGAAGTCAGGGAGGGCTATCTCAGCACACGCAGTGCACATCCTCATCAAGACTGGCACTGCGACTTCATGCCCATCTGCTCCCATAGAAGCCCTCTGGAACCTGGGTCCTGGCCAGTCCTGCTTCTCACTCACCCAATGCAGGGACCCGATGCAGACCTTAGCAGCCATCAGAGGCACAGTGGGGTCCGAGGGCCGCAGCTTCATGCACTCCCGCAGCAGTGAGACAGCGTGGGCAGACTGCAGAAGGAAGAACAAGCAATGCTGTCACCTCGGCCCCAGGGCTGGATGGACTGGGGTGGCCCCTGCCCATGGCCAGGGCTGAGTCAGGTGGGAGGAGCTCAGGGCCTTGGTTTCCTTGTCTGGGAAGGGAGGATGTGACTTGTGCCTTTTGGTGATGTGACCTCAGAATGAAGCTATGGAAAAGGGACTCAAATTTAAACTACCCACAGGGGCTCCCCAAGTGGGCACTCAAGGCCAGTGTTATGGCACATCAGGTTAAGCCACTGTGGTGACACTGACACCCCACACACCAGAATACTGGCTTGAGTGCTCGCTGATGTGCTCCTGATCCAGCTCCCTGCTAATGCTCCTGGGAAGGCAGCAGAGAATAATGGTCTTCGTGCTTGGGTCTCTGCACTCATACCTGGAAACCCTGATGGAGTCCCTAGTTCCTGGCTTTGGCCTAGTCCAGCCTTGGTTGTTGGCAGGCACTTGGGTAACAGAGATCTCGCTGTCACTTTGTCTTTTCAATGAATAAATAAATAAATCTTAAAACTTGGGTACTGGTGGGGGAGCAGGGCCAGGGGGACATATAAAGGTTGCAGGGAACAAGAGATGAGGCCAAGCTGGCAGAGATGGAGACAACTTTCAGATTGGCCAGGTGGAGGGAATCCCCAAGGCCTGGAAACTCAGGCCGGGGCTGCTGGGGACAGCCAACGTATAAAGGGAGGGCCGGGAGAGGATAGTGTCCAGACCAGGCAGGGACATTGCTAGGAGCAACACTGAGCAAGAGCAGCTAAGCTCATTTGTATGTAATTCCAAGCCAGTCACTGTTCTGGGTCAGGGACCAGCAAAGCACAGCCCACAGACCATATCTGGCTTCTGGTCTCATTTTTGTAAATAAAGTTTTATTGGGCCCCACCTTTTCTCACTGACTCCCGTCCTGTCTGTGGCTGAACGGAACAGCTGCTATAGGCCAGCAGACAAAAGAGTCTGCTATTCGGAGCCCTGTCCTATGTACCGTGTGAATGTCAAGTCATCTCATCTGTACAACGCTCCCCTGAGGCACGCACTGAGACCCAACCTCGACCTCAGAGCCCATACCTAGCTGAGCTGGGATCTGGATTCAGGCTGGCTCTAATCTCCTAGCCACAACCCTTTACTGCCTCTGTGTGACTCCAGTGCTCAGCGAGGGGGCCTGTTTCCCTGCCACATACACACTCATATGGACATGTGCATACACACACACATGCTCGCTCTCTCACACACACACACTCTCACACATGCACACTCAGGGCTGGGAGCTTCTGAGTTCAACACTGCTGCAGGAAACTCAGCTATAGCTGTGTGCATACCCCACTACCTGCATGACCCCAGGTAAGCTGGTTGCTACATGTGTGTGTCACGAGGACAAGTCCCAGATACTGGGCCCTACTGGGAAGTCAGGTTCTCACCCTCTCCCAGCAGCTCCTGGGGTGCCCCTGGGAATGGGGGGTGGAGCTCAGGAAGGCTTTCTTGTTCATAGCTGGGTGCAAGCCACTAGAGGAAGAGCCAGTGTCCCCTTCCTGTGTCTACCCCAGAGCTTCTGCCTCTCTCTGACTCACCTGTTGTCCCTGTCACCTGAGGAAGAGCTATGCTCAACCCAGGTGGGACAGACTTCCGGGGAAGAGGGAGTGGACTCTGGTTCACACTCAGGTCTGACCAGGGGCCCGGCATAAGCGAGGGATTGTAGTGTCACTGTGGGAAGTAGTGAGGCCATGGTTCCTTCCCTTAAGAAGGGCACACATAGGCTGGGGAGAGAGGGGAGATGTCACCATCGCCTCTATATCCCCCGCCAGGAAGCAAGGGGCCAGGAGATCAAGCTATAGAGGCCGTGACTGCCCAGTGGGGGCTCTGGGAGGGGCTGGGAGTGGCCAGCAGACTAGCATCTTGGGCCAGGACCTTCTCCAGGGATGCCTCTCCCAGTCCCTCCTTCCACACATACCTAGCCACCTCAGGTTCGGCATCTGCTGATCTTAGCCTGCGCAAAAATGGTTAAAATATGGGATTCTCTAAGCTGACCCTCCATACTCCACCCCCGCGCAGACCAGAAGCTGCTGCTATTTAAGGAGCCATCTGAGGACTCTGCACTGGGAGCAGCCCTGGCTCACTCACTAGCTCTTTTTTTTCCTGTCAAGCTGGTTACCTAGCAACACAGCCACTGCAGTTGCCGCGTGGAGATGGAGAGAAGAAACGACCTACATCATGCCGCAGAACTCATCCGCTTTTCCTGCAGGCCCTGGTGCCAGGTGTATTTATATCTGCCCAGCCTCACCTTCTGGAGGGCCTTCCGGGCATGGTCACAGGTACACAACCTTGATTTTCACCTGAGCCTCTTTGCAAAGGTAAGGCCTGAACACCCTTAGCAGGGCTGCCAGGGACACTTAGGCAGTCTCATGCAGGGACTGGAGCTCTCAAAGTGGGTGGAGAATATACTTTCTAGAATGATCTGCTGTACCAAATACATGGGTGGGTGTAATCACGTGTGTGTCTCCAGTCCCATGCAGTCCCATGCAGTCCCATGCAGTCTCATGCAGTCTCATGCATAAGGAGCTGTCGTTCACCCCAATTGCTCCCTGCCTGGAAGCCCTTCCTGTGGCCACTGCGGAAGCCAGCTCCTGGATGCCAGGACCACACTGAGCTGTCTGCACCTCTCTGAGCTCAGCTGCTTCCCAGCAGGGAAGTATAAGACCTCTTCTTTGCAGACTCTCAAGGCTCTTCCTGTGTAAAGCTAAGGCACCTTACAGGACTTCCTGCAGACATCGACACTAAGATGCAGACACAGCACGTTCTGGAGGAGGGGGCTTCCTCAGCTCCTGCCAGGGGTCCAGCACCCACCGGAGGATGCAGCCACCGCTCTGGCCTTGGCTCTCTCTCCATCTATGTGCACTACTACCAGGGTCCCTTGCTCTATTCTGGGAGACGCAAAGAAGCTAGCTCTGCCACTTGAGTGAGCTGCCTGCCCAGGTTCTGTGCAAGTACCAGGTCTTCCTCCCATCCTGGCCCACCTTCCCTGGGTTTTCGCCGGAGCCCCTGCTGTCCCCTCTGCCAGGAAGGCCACTCGTGGCTGCTGGCCTCCACTCATCTCCCTCCCACATGGTTCCTAGAAGGTCTCACACCTCAGCTCAGGGTGGGCTGGAGCCTCACCCTGCCAGTCCTCTCTCCCTGGGCCTTGACAAGACCCTGCTCAGCACAGATCATGCAAGGTACTCAGGGAGTTGGCCCTGTGGGATGGATGTGGCAGTGCTGGGGGTCTGAGAGGTCAAGTGCCCAAGCAGAGGGAGACGCTCTGGCCACCCAACAGGCCCGGCTGTCTTTCCCCACCTCGTCCTGCCAGTCGGACTGCTGCATCTGCTGTTCTACCCCTTCTGGCAAGGCAAGGCAATGGTGTGCCCTGCCACTGAGGCCCAGTGCTGGCTGGCACGGCCCCCGTGTATGGAGGAGGTGCTGGCAGGCTGAGACGGCCCTCCTCAGAGACAGGCTAGAAATGGAACGTGGCACAGATGGGCCAGGGGGCGAGGAATTCCCTCAGCGCCATGAAAGGGTTCTGGGTATTTACAGCCCTCAGCACGATCTGCCAGCGCGTGCCACCCCATTTCCTGCGCTCACAGCGTCCTCAGGCCCAGCTCCGCCCTTTCCCTCCCCCCAACCCTCAGATCCGGAAAGGTTTTCCTTTCGTGTCACTGCTTAAAATAGAGGCTTATATAAGCGTGAATTCGGGTCTGTGGCAAAACTAGGGGGTGCTGACACATGGGTTGGGGGCAGGGAGAGGCCTTAGAGCAAATGTCTGCTCAGGTGCCCCCTGTTCTGGGCAGCATGCCCTGTCCTCCCCAGTCCTGGACACATCCACCACACAGTTCCCCCTGCACAGTCCCTCGGTGGGGCGGGGCAGGGCCTGCTGTACCTCCCCCTCACAGGCAAGTCCTTGATTCACTGGGAGTCACAGCCCAAATGGAAGGGTGCTCCTCCCTCCAGGAGTCTGCCCTGCCCCCACATGCAAGTCTCTTACCTGCACCAGTACTTCTAAGCACATTCAAGGAGAAGCACCCCCAGGCCCTCTGGGCACACAGGATCTCCACCCCAGGTGTCCGTAGGCCTTCCTCTTGCCCTTCCCCCATGCTCTGCTGAAGATTCAGACTAACTGCAGGTCACCTCTCCCCAGACCCCCGGCTGCAGAAAACAAAGCCTCCAGGGCCCAGGCTGGAGGGGGGCGTGTGGCCTGGAACAGAGCGCTGAGAGGGAGGGCTTCGAGGCCTTACCTTCCCACAAGCCACCATGGAGAGGGCCACTTGGTACCAAAGGTGGAATTCTCCAAACGCAAACTTCATGGCTCGCTCCAGGCACTGCGGAGGAGGAAGACGGTCATCTCTGCTGGCTGGCCAGGCACCCTGCCTGCCCATGCCCTCCTCGGGCAATCACTGCCCAAATCACTACCTTTGGAAGGCTGTCGGGTGGGTGATGGCTACAATCAGTTTCTGTAGGAAACCAGAGGTTCTGGAGTCCCCGCCATGAGTACAACGTGCGACCTTGTACTTATGTGTCACACCATCTGACCATCAGCTGCTACTTCTAGAACATGTGAATAACTTCACAGGCCATGGTAAAGAACGAATGTAGAAAGACTGGTGAATCTGCTTCTGTGTTCACAGCTGACAAAAAACAGCCGGGAGCATTTTATATTGTGTTTGGCACTGGTCCTCAGCATCTCACATAGCGGGGGCTCACTCACGCCTCCCAGCAGCCTGGTAAGCTAGGTTCCCTAAGGCTTCTTAGTTCACAGAGCAGGGTCATAGCAAGTGCCAGAGAGGCCTGGTGAGTGGCAGTGGGTAGGGGACAGGCGCTGGCTGCACCTGACTCCCAGGCAGCTTACCTCTGACAGCATGGCATACTGGCCCCTCCTGCCCAGCGTGATGCTCAGGAGGTCGTAGATGGCTGCAGCATTGCGCACGCTCGCTGCGCGGTCCTCCTCTTGCTCAGGTGCCCGGCTCAGCACCACGTCCCGGGTTGCCTGTAGAGGGGTAGAAGGCACCATGGCTGACGGAGTAAGGGCAGAACATGAGCAAAGACGTGATCCCCACGGAGACCTCCTTGCTAACCAGTCATTGCTGGGTTTTTTTTTTTCCCTCTCTACAGGACATGGAACCATAGCCCTTCTCATCATCTCCTTGTCCTCCCACTACCCAGTTTAGGACCAGGCCTTGCGTATGGTATCACATCTCTTTAACCTACCTTCTCTGATGTTTTTTAAAGTTTTTTTTTTAAATGTTTATTTGAAAGGCAGATTTGAGAGGTATATTCCATCTGATTGTTCACTCCTCAAATGGTGACAATGGCTAGGGCTGAGTCAGACCAAAGCCAGGAGCTAGGGGCTTCTTCCAGATCTTCCATTGTTATAGTGGCTCAAGGCCTCAGACCATCTTTTGCTGTTTTCTCAGATGCATTGGCAGGGAGCTGGATTCAAAGTGGAGCAGCCAGATCTCAAACTGGTGCCTTTATGGGTGTTTGGGGACACAGGACCCTATCCCTCCTCTGGGTCTCTTGCCCATAGGCAGTGGTCTTGTGCAATGGCCCTTTTGGGTGTCCACAACTCCCCGTGATTATAGCAAAGAGCTTCAGGTCAGATGGGAGTCTTCCAGGTTGTGCATGAGATAGAGTTTGACCCTCAGTGTCCCTGCTCTTCTTCTCCAGCTGCCAAATCCCTCTGAATAAGGACCCCGTCATCCCCATCCCTTCCCACCCCCACAACTCTCACCTCTGGCCCCACACCTGAGGGATCCTTCACTGGCACCCAGCACCACGGATTCTGCCAGGTAGCCAGGGAGGGTGTGGATGGCAGGAAATGTGTGCTTCATGAATAAGTGATTCCGCACGATTCCGAGGAGACCCCTCGCATCAAGGGTGCGACATCCCCTGGTTCTGTGGCTGTAGCATGTGGTCTCACTCCTTCCCACCTCCACACCTGGGGTGGCACTCAGGCCAGGCGCAAGGGAGACACAGTGCAGGAGTGGCTACCCAGCAGCAAGAGCCGTGAAGGTGTCTGTGCCACTAAAGGACAGGGCACAAACCACACCAATCCCACAAATACCTCTAGCACCCTCAGGGGCTGGGATGGGCTGAGGCAAAGGTGGGTTCCTCTCCTCCACTTCTCGGTCCAGCACCACTGTTGCTGGCCATGTATCCCTGCTTCCCTACGCAGAACCTCACCACCAAAAACTCTGCCGCAAAAATGGAGCAGCTGGGCACTTAAACCCAGCTGTCCCTCTTCAGGCCCACACCTGCCTCCTTCCTTCCACCCACTCCCAGGTGGTCCTCAAGCCCCTCTCTGGGCAGGAACTGCTCTGTCTCGACCTCTTCCTCACAGGGCAAGTGGCTGGGGAGGCAGAAGCCTGGTGGTGTAGTGCTCAAGCGCAGTACCACAGAGGCCTGCAGGAACCCATGGAGGGGACCCACCCTGGGGGGGCATGTTAGGTGGGAAGGCAGACCTGTAGCCAGGGGTCCTGATGGCTATCTCTCCTGCCACAGTAAATGGGTGCCACCCACCCACTGCCCTGTGGATGCAGATGGGGCCACAGATGTGGATGAAGGAGAAGGTGACAAGGCCACCAGGAAATCCCCAGACAGGAAAAACCAGCCTAGCAGATAGGAGCTGGTCAGGAGCCCCAAAGGGTTAACAGAGGGTAGGGGAGAGGGAAGTGCCTAGACAGCCCCTCCCTGCGAAAGTCACCCTGTGACAACCACCAAGAGAGAGCTAGTTCACCTGGCCAAGCAGGAACGCAACTCTGGCCCTGCCCCCATCTCCACTTCCAGCAGTTCAACTTTGGCTGGCCAGGATGGGGCAAGAGGTGGTGGGGTAGGGGTGGAGAGTCTGGAGTGGAGGCCTCCACCAGGCAGCAGTGGGGAGGGGCTGCAGGAGAGGCAGCAGCAGGGCAGGCTGCAGTGCCCAGCTGGGTGGAATCTGGAACTCTGGTGGGAGGCAGAGGGCTGGAAGGAGGGGGCAGAGGCAGGCATCTGCAAAGGCAGGTCTTCTGCAGTGGCAGAGAGAAGTCTGGCTGGGCACATCCAGAGCTGGGATTCCGTGCACAGAACAGGCACATTCAGGGGTGTGGACCCACCACTGCCCTCCCAAAAAAGCCCAAGTCCTTCCTGTAGCTTCCCATCCTCACCAGGGCCCGTCTTTGGTCACGGCGTGGTTCCCTCTGCCACCCTGGACGTCTTATGGTCTCTCTCAAGACAGGCGCCCTCCCTGCAGCCCCCATCCTGGACTCTGTCCCTGGAGAAGCCAGGCCTCAAGCAGCACAAATCATGCTCGCCAGGTGTTGCACAGCTGTCTCCTGCCCCACCATAGAACTTGATTCAAACCACCTTGGGGAGGAAGGGGGGTTGGGAGGTGATACTGGGGGGACAAAGCTTGGGTGTCAGGTGTGGACACCCCTCCTGCTCCCGTGTCCCCTGATGGCTTTGAAAGAACAGGATCTCTGGATGTGTGTCTGTGTCTGTGTGTGTGGGCGGGGGGTAGGGTGGTGGTGTCGCATGTGTTTTAGAACCGGCCCTTAATCAGGTCAGAAGCATAGCAACATGTGACTCTTGGTGACTGGGGTCCAGGGCAGGCAGCAGGAAGGGCGTTTTCTCTAGGGTCCTCAGTACTGGCATGACCTAGTGTCTGTGTCGGGAGGGACAAGGGCCAGGAGTAGAAGCTGACCACATTGTTACCATGGCTTTGGGGCAGGGCTACAGTGGATGCTTGGGTGGTTTTAGGGCTGTGCTGGTGTGTGTGTGTGTAACTATGGCAACAGGGCAGGGCAGGAGAGAGCAGGATGGGCAGGAGAGAGCAGGGCAGGGCAGGAGAAAGCAGGGCGGGCAGGAGAGAGCAGGGCAGAAAGAAGGAAGCTTTGAGGGCTTGAGGTGGAGCCACAAAGGAAATTCACCTGCAGCTCAGGGGCCAAGTGTCAGTTCCTTCTCCAGGGCCTAGATATTTACTTCTCTCTCCCTGGGCTTAGGGTCCCTACCTCCCTGTCCCCCCAGTGGCCAAGCTGGGGCCTGTCCTGAACCAGTCCCAGCCCCCTTCATTAGGAAATCATCCAGGTCAAGTGCAGTAACAGACATGAGGGTTCTGGGAACCCTTAGAGCCACACAGACTCCCTTCTCTCCACCCTCCTCCTCCTGCTCTAGGAACAACACAGAACATTCTTTGCAGCTTCTCACCGGCTGGTGCTCACAGCCACAACTCCATCAGGAGATGCACTACTCTCACTTCTCCACACTTTTAGGCCCAGATAGGATTCAGGCACTCATCCCTGCTCCTCCCCCTATGCCTCTGGCTGCTTTCCCAGGGTGGCCTTTCTTGGCCCTAAGCTTGGGATGGCAGGGGAAAGGAATTCCCCTCATACTCCTTCATCCAGCAGCCCACTTGTCAGCTTGGCTGCTTCAGGTCCTCGGCAAAGGCATGGGGGTACACAGAGAGGAGGCCCCCCAAGGGGATGTCCACTTCCCCAGGTGGGACAGCTCGCAGCCAGGCAGCCCCATGAGGCACTGAGAGCAACTCCTTTAGGAGTGGGATTTGAATATTCATTGTCTCATCTGGCTCCACAAGAACCCAAGGAGAGGCAGGGATGAACCATGAGGACTGCCCTCCTAGAAGATGGGGCCATTGGGACGTGGAAAGATATTGTGCAAGGACCCAGGAATTCAGGGCTGATGCTCTGGGGGCCGGGCCAGGACCGTGGTGGCCACTGGCGCTATGGCTGCCACCTGCCTCCTAGCTGCTCAGCCAGCTGCAGGGCCTCCCACGGTACTGGCCTTGGCTTTTTCCCAACCCCAATTCTCCTCTGTGACCCTGAGCACCCATAGGACGCACATAGAGCTCTCAGGACTTTCAGTTGCTTTAAGACTAAAAAAGGCCCAGAGAGGCCACCCACAGCATGCAGAGAAGGGACCCGATTAAGCGTTTCTGACATGCTGACTGCCACAGGGGCGGAATGGGGAGGGAGAAAGAGGGGGAGTGACCTCTCTGCAGAAAACACACCCTGCCCCAGCATGCCCTGCTCAACCCCACTTGCAGACAACCCGCCCCCTCCCCACCACCCTGCCACTGGGCAGGAAGAGACTTGGGACCTGCTGTTGATGCTCCCCCTCAACCCACAACCACCTACACAACTCCCCTCCTGGCAGATCTGTACCCAGCGTCTACCCCCTCTGTGGAGGATGCCAACACGTTCCGCACCCGTTGGCCTCCCCCACCGGCAGCCATAATCACCACTGGTGCCCGAGCTGCCAGGCCACAGAGCCAAGAAATCACACGCTCTGTGATGCATCTCCTTTACCTAAGGGCCGGGCCAGGCCCACGCCAGCCTGCGCCTGCACCTGCCACACCAGGCCCCTGCCAGGTGGCACAGCTCTCCCGCCTCTGCCGAGGCCCAGGGCTCTGTGCTGGCAGCATTCTCAGACCCTTTCCATCACAGCCTTCCGCGGAGCAGGTGCCAAGAGCTGGGACAATCTGTGCCCATCTGCTGAGCTCCAAATGGAATGCAGCCCAGGAAGTACTTTTTTTTTTTTTTTTCTGTCTTCAATTGCACGGTATCCTCACCCTAACCAGATCTAAACTTCATTGTTTTAAAAAACGGCTAAGTTAGAATTCAAGTATTTTTTTCAGGACAAAATGAACATGCGTGTATGCAGAACAATCAAGTGTACCCGGCACTTAGCGCCCACTTTTGTACTTAATCCACCTGAATGCCTGCAGGAGAAGCCTTACATTGAATACTTTTTTGACAGAAATAAATTTCAGAGAAAACTGAGGCTCAGCGGGTAGGAAATTTGCCTGGGCCACACAAACTGTGAACGGCAAAAACCAGACTCAAGGGCTGGTGCTGTGGCATAGCGAGTTAAGCCACCACCTGCAGTGCCAGTGTCCATTATGGGTGCTGGTTCAAGTCCTAGTTGTTTCACTTCCAAATTAGCTCCCTGCTAATGTGCTTGGGGAAGAGCAGAAAAAGGTTCAGCTGCTTGGGCCCCTGCACCCCAGTGGAAGATCCAGATGAAACTCCTGGCTTCTAGCTTCGGCCTGGCCCAGTGTTGACTGTTCTAGCCACTCAGGGAAATGAATGAGTCAGCAGATGGAAGATCAATCAATCTCTCTCTGTGTCCTCCTCTCCCTGCAACTGTCTTTCAAATAAACAAATCTTTAACAAACAAAAAGCAAGATTTATGTTGCCCGATGTACAGCCTCGAGCAAGGTGCAAAGTCAGTTTGTTGATGTGCAGGGTCCCAGGCCTCAGGGACTTGTTCCCCTGCCCCAATCTCACTCCACAGAGGCTTCCATACATCTGCTTCCCAAGTGCCTCTACTACCTGCAGCTTCTGCCTCAGCTGCCTGGAACAGCTCCAAGGTTCCCACTGCTTTAGCAAGTATTATTATGTCCTGGACTGTTAATGACAAAGTTCACTGTCCCACCTTGTTCCCCAAGTGTTTGAGGACGCCAGGTCAGTTGCATATACGGCTCTTTCAAAAATTAAAAATGGCCTTTACACCTCAGTAGGCTGAGCTACCTCTTTGTGATTTAGAGATCAGGGTGTCTTCCACGTGCCTTGACACAGACAGACACAGACAGACAGACACACACACACACACACACACACACACACACACACTGCACTAGGTAAGGGCATCTCTGGGACAGTGACTGTGATGGAAGTCTTCATTATTTCTGCAGTGCTGGGCATGGGGCGGCATGCCGTAGGATAACTGGATGGATGGAAGACTGGAAGGGTGGATGAATAGGTGCACCACTGGATAGATGCAAAGGGGGTGGGGAGTTGGAGCGCTAGAAGAACGGGCAGGTAGATCACCGGATGATAGACTTTAAAACACGATTTGACACCAAAAACTTACCCTAGGTCCACAATAAAATCTTCTCCCCCCCCTCCCTTTTTAGTCCCATGAAAGTATCTGCAAAGTTTCTATTGGTCTCTTCAAAGACAAGGACTTTTTCATGCATTCTGATCATAGCATCACCTTATAACAAAGCCATAACTGAAGTACCAGCCTCATACCCAGATGGTTATTCCTCTGAGTTGCAAACCCAACAACAGGGGCCACAGGCTGGGGATGGAGGACCTTTTTCTTTTTTTCCCCACCTCTCTCTCTCTAGTTTAATGTTTCAAATAAATAAAACACATTTTAAAAAAACTACATAACTCTTAAAAAAGTCTAGGGGATGGTGCTGTGGTATAGTGGGTTACACTGCTGCCCGCAACACTGACATCCCACATGGGTGCCAGCTGGTGTCCTTGCTGCTCCACTTCTGATCCAGGGAAAGCAACAGAAGATGGCCCAAGTGCTTGGGAGCTGCCACTCCCGTGGAAGGCCTGGATGGAGCTCCTGGCTCCTGGCTCTGGGTTGGCCCGGTGCTGTAGTTGTAGTTGTTGTAGTCATTTGGGGAAATCAACTAGTGGACAGAAGATTCTCTGTCTCTCTCCCTTAATTTATATAACCGTCTTTTAGGTCAATAAAATAAGTCTTTAAAAAAATGTGTGAACGGCAGTGCTCTGTTCCCAACCCCCACCAGAGACCCCTGGAACGGGAAACGTTCATTTGTTTGCTGCCACCTCCCTCACTGGAATGAGAGGCCCAGGAAGGTGGCACTTTTCTCTGTTTGCTGCAGCATCTCTGGCATCTAGAACAGAACCTAGCACAAAGCAGGTACTTCCTCGGCCGACGGCTGTTGCATGCACACAGGAGCCCCTTCAACGGGCACACTTACCTCTGTGACAACGTCATCAGAGACATGAAGCAATTGGCCTTGGGCACTGGAACCTACATGCAGACCTCCCACCTCCCCGCCACGTGCTCCTACCACTCTCTCCTTGTCACCCTTGCACCTATCACAGTCCCCTACTGCTGGAGGAAGGAGGGGGGACATCCTCACACACCCATTTTGGGGTAGAACCCAGGCCTCCCAATGCAGCTGAACCCAAGCCTAGGGAACGAGGCTTGCTGTCTGTCTGCAGGGGCGGGACCAGGAGGCTCCCACTTCGGGGGCATGCAGCAGACCTAGCCCACAGGGTCAGAGGCCCAAGGAGCACCCTGGGCTTACCATGGACTCGCTGATCAGGAGGAGCAGGAGCGCTTCCTCGATGTTATCCTTCGGGCAGTAGAGACTGAAAGACACAAATGACAGCCCTGGCTCCCACCCCAGCAGCGCCACCAGCCCATCACGTGGGCCCTCTGCCCCTGGTAAGGTGACTCTCTCCTGAATAATTCATGGGCACCGGATGCCACCTGTGGCTCTTTTATATGCCCCAGAGTAGTGGTTGGGCTGTAATCCCGCAGATGCTCCAGACACACAAACACACACACACCCCTCCCAGTGCCCATCACTGTGTTAAAGGAGCTGGGATGAGGGACCAGGACAAACTCGGCCAGCTGCTGCAGACTCTGCCTTCCATGATGGTGCATCAGGCAGATGCTCAGAGGCATGGAACACCCACATACGTTGGGCAGTGGGGTCTCTGACACGACCCTTCCTCCTACCCCCCACCCCCGATACCTTCTCTCATCTCCATGGCTCCTGGGGATCCTAAGGAGGCTGCCAGGTAGCGGGCTGGGTGCAGGCAGTGGCAGACAGCAGCTGCCAGCGGTACCCCACCCCGGCACGGCCTAGGGAGGCAGGCCAAACTCACTTGTCTCCTTCATAGAGGTGTGGTCTCCGCAGGGCCTGCATGATGAAGGCATTCTCCTCCTTGCTCATGAACTCGGGCAGAGGGTGTGACAGGGGGCTCCAGTAGCACTCCTCACTCAGGGAGTGCAGCAGGACCCCCGCCAGGTGCTTGGCCGCCACCTGGCAGACAGGGAGGGAATCACATCCAGGCATGCATCTCAGCCTTTCCCTAGAATGTTCTAGAACACTCTCTGCTCACCTCCAGCTACATCTGCCCTTCTTGGGCAGGGGTTGGGGGGAGGGTACATCCCCACACAGAGACCTCCACGACTCCAACCCCAAGGGGTCTGCTCATTTTTCTCAGTCCCCTCCTGCATGGAGCTCTCTCCCCACCCACACCTTCTGCTGCCCTTAGGTGGCACCGACTTCCCCCTTTCCCCATCTCATCTCCCAGACAGAGCTGGAGCTCTTAGGATTCCATGGGCCCTGGCAGGGCAGGGAAAGGACAGAAAACCAAGGGCCTCACAGCTCTTGTCTACCACATGCCTCTCTGAGCTCTGACTGGCTCTGACTTTGGGTTAAACAAAGCCAGACATAGCAAAGCCAGTGTTGTTCTTAGCATCCTCACACATCCCTCAGAGTTAACATCCACTTTGCTGGGACACTGTTCAGCTCAGGGAAGGGCTGGCAGTAGATTTTTTATGCGAATTGCTGTCTGCAGGGCTGTGGTGAGAAGGATACTGAGCTCGACTGGTAATGTCTGCCATGGGCGAGGGGATGTCGGGACGCACACCTGCTGGGACTTCTCCCTCCTCCCTCTCCCACCTTACCACTTTGAAATTCTGCGTGGCTTTGGTCTCCACAGTGCGCAGCACCTCACGGAGCTCTCTCATGCCCTTTACGATGTTCCTGCAGGGAGCGAGTGACTTAGCAGCCAAGCCACAGACTCTGGGAGGAGCCTGCCAGCTAGAACACAGCTGAGCCCTTCAATTGCCAGAGCGGTGGCACCAGGACACCCTCAAGTCTGGGTCATCACCAGAGAGCCCTAGGTGTCCAGTATATACCAAGGCTGGGTACGCAAATAAAGTATCAGCTCGGCCCGGGTGCCTCAAGGCTTCCCTGCTCACTCTCTGCTCGCTGGCTGCATCTGGTCCACGCTTTCCTCCCGGTCATTACGATCGAGGCCTCGGACAGGTGTGCATCACTGTGTGGGCTCAGATGACCACCTGGCCAGGCTCACCTCCTCCAGGCAGCACTCTGTACCTTGACAGGGGTTTTACTGCAGTGTTGGCTATCGTCAAAAAATCCACCTCACGCTGCAGCCCATCACACACTTTTCCTATATAAAACTGGGGCAAGGGATCAGAGCGATGGCTCAGTGGCTAACTCCTCGCCTTGCATGTGCCAGGATCCCATATGGGCACAGGTTTGTGTCCCAGCTGCTCCACTTCCCACCCAGTTCCCTGCTTGTGGCCTGGGAACGCAGTAAACGACAGCCCAAGTCCTTGTGACCCTGCACCTCATGGGAGACCTGAGGAAACTCCTGGCTCCTGGCTTCGGATTGGTTTAGCCATTGCTGTTGTGACCACTTGGGGAGGAACTAGCAGACAGATCTTTCTCTAAGTCTGCCTTTGCAATAAAAATAAATAACTTTTTAAAAACCAGGGCAATTCCCGGACACAGCACTTGCTCCTGCTCCTGCTTGGACAGCCCCTCCTCCACCCCTCCCTCTACCCCGACTTGGTAAAATGCTGGCTGCAGCTCACCACGTCGACCTGACAGCCACTAACGGGCTGTGGCCTGCAGCCTGAGGAGCCTCCCCCAGGTCTCTTGACCAAGGGGTCCACTGATACATAGAAGCCATCTGGGTCCTCCCAGCCCCTCTGGTGGCCATCAGGGCCTAAGAGCTCAGCCTGGGTCCTCAGCATGGTGCCCTGGGACTGGGGGCCTGCCCCGCTCTCCCCTGTCCACTCCCACTGCTGCAGCCTCTGCGCTTCCTGCCATCAAGTGCTGGCACAGGCTGCTTCTCCCACTGCCTTTAACAGCACCTCCCTCCCTCATCCTAATCCAGCTCCAGCATCCCAGCCCAGGCCTTCCTCCTGCCCTGCCCTGCTCGCCTGTCCCTTCCATGCTGTTAACTCCTCTGCCTCTGAAGCAAGCTCCCCAGCTCCAGGTCGTTTTCCATCCTTGTGCATTGTGGCCTGCTCAGGGCAGGTGCTCGGAAAATACCTGGTGACCACTCCGCTTGTTTGCTCACAAGGTTCCATAGGCCACGCCACACACGGGAAAGCAGAGGCTGCCGGGGCAGTAAGTGTAGAACAGGGACCATCACAGAGGTGGCACCAGAAAAGCAACTGCCAGGCTAGCTTCAAGACCCAGGCTGCATGAGGAGCGACCAGGAAACAGGCACCAAACTCAGCTAAGGTGAGCTGGACCCCAGGCTGGGTGGGCCCTGTGGCTCAGAGACCAGCAATTCCTGGGTCAGTGGGGGTATTTTTCCACTCTGCACTTGACATGCCAGGCTCCACCCTGGAGCTGCTACCAGGAGCTGGAGCCAAGTATGATCACGGTGCCTTCCCCCGCAGCCCTACCCGAGGACCATCCTTCGTGCTTAGCTGTGCAGTTCTATCTCAACATTGACACCCGCGGACCAGCAGATGGGCATCACCTGGGGACTCAGGGAAGCCGCACCCTGTTTTAACAAGATCCTGAGTCCCAAACAAGGTCAATTTTTGACTTCTTTCTAACCTCTAAGGGAGTCTCTAGCCAAACAGTTAAGTATCCGCAGGCACGTGTGAACCAATCCCCACTCAGACTGCATGTCCTTATAGACAAAACCACAGGGAGTGGCCAGGGGACGCCCTGGGATCCCAGCTCACCTGGTCCTGTGCAGCAATGCTGGGAAAGCCCCTGTGCCTTGGCTTACCCCGCTGAGAAGTGAGAAAGCAGATGGGCCTCACTCCAGGGCTCCCCAGATGGCCAAGGTCTGAATAATCTCAGCCCAGTGCTCCAGCCGCCTGCCTGTGCCAGGTAGGGCCCGGGCTCTCGTGAGCCGTTTCTGCCTGCCCTAGGGAGAGGCCAGTTTGAAAGCTCTCTTTGTTTTTGCCTCTCCCGCTGACCTTTCTGAGCAAAGCTGTCCACTTTCAACACTCTCCAAGGCAGGGCCTCCAACAAACCCTGGCCCAGAAACAGGCTGGCACGGGGACAAGCTGGGAAGCAGATTCTTCTAACCAAAGTCAAGTCTATGAACACAGGGAGGGAAGGGTGGAGACGGGGTGCAGTGGTGGGTGAAGGGCAATGGTTGGTCTTGGGGTGACCTCTGGGTAGGCCATGCGCAGGGAGGCAAGCCCTTGGGCACTCTTAGCAGCAGCACGCAGTGGCGTCCGAGCTTCAGAGCCTGGCCTAGTCTTTGCAGCTGCCGCTGAGCTGGGGGAGGCAGGCAGGCCCAGTAGCCTCTGAAGCACAGCACAACATGGGCTACTCAGAAGGCTCTCGGGACTCCCCAAGGGAAGGGATACACTGCATTTTTCCAATGGGGGAACTGCAGCCTGGCAGATGCCCGCTGTCCCCGCCCACCACCTACCCAAGGGCAGAAGCTGGCTCTTACAATCACGTGGCTCAGGTTTGACTCCCTTTCCCCCCTTCAGACACACAAAGCCTGCCTTTAGTCCCGGCACAGCTATACTTCCTTCTCCTGTCCCTTAAACTCCCAGGACTCTTGGGCCTCAATCCACTAAGCCTTTCAAAGCACCCACTGCCCAGAAAGTTCCCAGTACCAGAAGCGAAGACTGGAAGAGTGGGTATCTAAGCTGGGGCCCAACATGCAAGGAGTTTATTCAGCTAGATCAGCCCTGCTACTGGCTCACTCTGGCATTCAGCAAAGTGTTTTGCACAGAGTAAGTGTTCGGTGGACATTTTTCAAGAGGGGTCATTCTGATTTGAAAGAGAAAATGAGAAACCACAGTGGAACTGGCCACTGAATCGAACTCAAACATGACCCAGCGCAGCAGCTCCACAGCAGGGCTTTGCACTGCTAACTGTACAGGAGAGGAACGCAGAAGGAGAGAGCCAGTGGGCAGATTCAACGCTGCAAGGCTGACTCGGAGCACAAGGTCCAGTGAAGCTCAAATGGTCATCAAGGGGCCAGTGAGGTGGCTCAATAAGCTAACCTTCCACTTTGCAGTACTAGCATCCCATATGGGCACTAGTTCATGTCCTGGGTGCTCTACTTCCCATCCAGCTCCTTGTTTATGGCCTGGGAATGCTGCGGCAGATGACCCAAAGCTTTGGGAAACCCAGAGGAGGAAGCTCCTGGTTCCTAGCTTCAGATTGGCTCAGCTCCGGCCATTGCAACACTTGGGGAGTGAACCAACAGATGGAAGATCTTTCCCTCTGTCTCCCCTTCTCTCTGTAAGTCAGCCTTTCCAATAAGAATAAATAAATCTTTAAAAAAAAAAAAAAAGGTCATCAAGCTGTCTGAATCCAAAACTCTCCTCTTCCGGTCCAGCCCTGGAATAAGACAGGGCCGCTGCCCTCGCCTGCTCGGCTGTCACACGCCAGGCAATGGGCTCCTCCCGTTCTGGGAAGGTAGCAAAGACAGAGAAAGGGCTGCCAATAAGTAGCCTGTGCATCAGGCGAGGCTGCACTGGGCCTCGGAGGCCTCTGCAGGCCCACAAGCAGGACACGGAACACAGGAGGCTTGTGGCATAGGTGATGTCTCCTGCCCTTCCCAGCCCTGCAGACACGACGTGGCTCCGGAGCACAGGACAAAACTACAGCTCAGTAAACATCCTCCCAACGGGGAGTCATACCCACCAGCAAGGCAGGGTTTTCTCTGCTTTGTACCCGCCTGGCACCAGTGTGTGTGTGTGTGTGTGTGTGTGTGAGAGAGAGAGAGAGAGAGAGAGAGAGAGAGAGAAACAGAGCCAGAACAAGCCTGTATGAGCTGCCAGACCCGGGGGGGAACTCCCTTAGAAAATACACACTTTTCTCCATTGTTTGGTTTGGGTGCAGTGAACACATGTTGCTTTGGCAATGAAAAAGTTGTCTGTTTGTTTATTTTTTTTAAAGAACAAGCAGGAAACACACCGCCAACCTTACCTGGTTCAATGTACATGGCCCAAGCTCACCCCCACCCCCAAGCACAGTGTGAGCTCTGCCAGGGCTAAGGAAGGGGACAAAAGCAAACAACTACAAAAAAAAAAAAAACAGAGAAATGGCCCCTTGGCTGCTCCAGGAGAAGGGACACAGTGGGCTCCCAAGGTTGGTCTTGATTAATGAGAGTTCTCTTGAGGTCAGAGCCATGGGCAGGGACAAGCAGCTTCCCACTCTGTATCCCTCCCCAGCTCCTGCTGCTTTGCTCTGGAGTTACTCCATGCCAGCAAATCAAGCTCCTTGCAGGAGCCTCCCCTACAGCCAGGATCCACCTCTTCTTGCCTCTGCCCCACTGTCAGAACCTGTCAGCAAAGTGCCTCCTCCCGGCTGCCCTGCAGCCTGGGGACTGCCTTGGCCTGGATTCCAAGTGGAGTCCACGGCTGCCCTCTGGTGGCAGAAAGAGGAGGCGCTGGGCCCAGGCCTCCTAGTTTCCACTCTTCCTACAAGGCCTTCCCAGTTCCCGGAGCAACCCCAGTTACTGCTCAGACAGAATCCACAGAGCCTGGCGCAGCAATCATCAGTGAGAAGAAAGTGCTGGATCCATAGGGCAAGGCCCCTGGAAGAAATGAACGTTCCTGGGGACACATGGAATGGTGGCAGCAGGGTAGTCTAGGACCAAGCCAGCAGGAGGGAGGCAGGCAGGCAGACAGGCTTGGGCTACCAGAAGCTCTGGAAAGTGGGGGTCACAGACAGGGCTACCCGCTCATCACGATGGACAACACGATGCCAGTGAGACTGTGTCAGATCTATGATGG